GATGGCGCGTACACCCAGGATGGCACATACACCCAGGATGGCGCATAAACCGAGGGCAATGCCTACACCCAGGATGGAGTCTACACCCAGATGGCGTCTACACCCAGGGCAGTGCCTACACCCAGGATGGCACATACACCCAGGATGGCGCCTACACCCAGGATGGCACGTACACCCAGGATGGCGTGTACACCCAGGACGGCGCATACACCGAGGGCAATGCCTACACCCAGGATGGAGTCTACACCCAGATGGCGTCTACACCCAGGGCAGTGCCTACACCCAGGATGGCGTCTAGCACGGTGCCATGATCATCATTTGCACATGCTGTTCTTCTGCGTGGAAGGTTTCCCACGCTCTTCTATTGGCCAAATCATCCTTCAGTCCTCAGCTTAAATGGCCTCCCTAGGGCAGCTTTCCCAGACTAGTCGGGAGGTGTGTAGCACAGTTCTTCATTTTTAAGCCCTCACCACCCCACACCGAGGGCAGAGGCTGTGTCTGTCTCTGCCTGGCTGGGGACATGCACTGTCCTTCCTGCATCCCTAGGTAGGTAGGTAGGTAGCTGCAAACTGCACGTGCTGCCGCCAATGCCCTGCAGGGGGCACCAGGTCTCCGGGAACAGGCCCTGTTTGGGTGTCCCTGGGAACCGGTGGCATCACCAAGGCCAGAGGTGTTTGGCTGCTTCCCGATAGCCTGAGGGCATGAGGGGCAGAGAGCAGGAATGGTTGGTCAAGCAGGTGGGGGGGTGTGGCAGGAAAGTCTGGGGAGGGGACTCCTGGTCCCCGTCCCCATCCCTGCTTCACCCAGAGAACCCCACTTTTCTCTCTTGTAGACATTGGCAGCTAAATTCACGAAAAGTGAAAATGAGCACTAAGCCGGCATTTGATGGATATGGAGACGAGGGCTGAAGGAGGTGAGTTGTTTTTCCCAAAGACGGAGGGAGACCAGAGCACAGTTCAGTCCTTTAACCACCCCCTTCTCCGCCCAATCTCCCTCACCCCTGTAACCATCACCAATAACTTCCCAGCTGCAGCAGCTGTATAATCCCACGCCATTAGCTCTTAGTTCACTTGCTGCAGAATTAACTAAATTGGACCCATGTTGGGGTCTGCCATTTTTAATCCTAATCTAACATGACAGCTGCCCCAGCCTCTTTGGAGGGTGGTTGAGAAGGCACCATGCGTCGTTGGAGAGGGTGGCTTATTTCTCTGCCCAGCTTGTTTTTCTGTCAAGCCTCATTTATGAAATTTAATGGAAGCGGGTGATCAGAAGCAAAATGCTTTTCACCCACCTCAAACACTTCCCAGTCCCCTGACTTCCTTAATGGCAGCCCCAGACAGGAGGGTGTGCAGAGAGATCAATGTGAGATGTGCCCCTGTCTCAGAGGAAAATTCAAATGTCATTTCTCAGAATTTGGAGAGAACAGAGAGATAAGCGCCCGAGAAGTCACATCTCCCGAGTTCTTTGCTGCATGGCTGAAACAACAGATGGCTGTGGGTGATAAAGCCCTCATCTCACCGAGAGGCCCAGATGAAAGGATTAACTGTTTTGAAAAATATTTTATGTCACGCAAGGTGACGCTCACAGAGGGTTCTAAGCAAAGCATGTTTTCTGGAGTTCCGAGAAAGAACTTTTGCTCAGAGAAATAAGCAGCTTACACTCCAATTTATTCCTGTCCACCATGCACTTAAAGAGTCAACAGCCAATGTTCTTGGCCTAAAGGTTGGGCTGGAAGCGGCTTCCCTGACCCCTCCCCTTCTCTGACCTCTCCTCCAGCACTCCCCTCCTCGTTCGTTCTCTCTCTCCAGCCTCCCAGTCCCACCCGTGGGCTTTGTACTGCCTCTTTCTCCACACACACGCCGTATCTGCCTGGCTCTCACCTCCTCCGAGTCTGCTCACATAGCCCTCCCTTCCTCTCTGTCTTTGTGGAGCTTCACACCTGTGATCACCCTTGGGTGGACTGGGTATTTATGAACTCATTGGTTTGCACCTGTGGACTGCTGTTTTCCTCCCTCCCAGGGACAGGAACTTGGATTTGTTCTCACCTGTGTCCCTGTATCCTAGAATAGCACCTGGCATGTAGCAGGGACTCAGTAAATATTCTTTGGGTGGAATAAAAGCTGTGATGAAGATGAGGATGATGGTGGTCAACACGCCCCGGTGGTTTCCTGGACACTCTTCTAAGTGCTTAGCACACATTCACTGGCTGTTCTGCATGTGAGCCTTGTGTGGTGGGTTCTGCAGAGCGGGGATCCTGCGTGGTGTAGGGGCAGCCCTTCCTGTTTGCGTAAGGCTGTGCTCTGATGTCTCAACAGAGATCATATGTGCATGTGCTCGGCTCAGCACTGGCAATGTAACCTCCGCCTCCCAGGCTCAATCAGTTCTCCTGCTTCAGTCTCCCAAGTAGCTGGGACTACAGGTGCCCACCACCACGCCTCCTAATTTTTTGTATTTTCAGTAGAGATGGGGTTTCGCCTTGTTGCCCAGGCTGGTCTTGAACTCCTGAGCTCAGGTGATCTGCCCACGTCAGCCTCCCAAAGTGCTAGGATTACAGGTGTGGGCCACGACGCCTGGCTCCTTTTATTATTATTTGAAATCAATGGACTCAGAAGCCTCTTGTCCCATAGCAACTTCATTCTTCCTTCATTTCCAGTCTTCCTTCATGTCCCCTGCATCCTCCCTTGATTCACTCACTGATGATTTAGTGAATGCCCCCCATCTCCACGGCGTTAGGTTAGATACTCAGCAGATGCACAAGAAACCTAAGGAGTTTCAGTCCAGCTGAGGCTCCGGATACGCAACGAGAAACCCACAAGCAATAGTGAAATGTGGGATTTGATAACCTCGTCATTTCTGGGTAAGACCAGTGCAAACAACGCACAGAGTTGCTAACAGGAGAAGACATGCAGAAACAGCCACCCAGCATGTGCAAGAGCACTGCCCTCGGACGATCACCTAAAGTCACCTCCAGCCCTCCCTGGTAGGCACCACTGCTGTTCCCATTGCACAGGTGAAGAAACGGAGGCATGCAGTCACCATACAGAGACAGCAGGCTTAGAGCCTGGGCTGTCTGATTCATGCTCACAGCAAGGAGGCAGCATTTAGAAAGCTCTTACTGTGTGCCAGTGCTGTGCTAGGTCCTCACATACTGAACCTTCAGTATCACCCTCTGGGGATGCTGCTATTATAAACCCACTTTAGTGATGAGAAAACTGAGGTGCAAAAAACCTAAAAGCATTTGCCCAAGAGCAAGCAGCTGTTAAGTGTCAGAGGCAGGATTCAAACTGGGTCTGTCCCACTCCTCCAGGAGTGCTCCGAACCCAAGAGCCTGGAACTGGGAGTTGCTTCCCAATGATGCCCTCGAATTACTCCCCTGTCCAGGGGCTCCCTCCCCCTCTCAAAGTGCTCCCTCTGCCCTCCTGTGGCCCAGCCCCAGCTCAGGGTGTAGTCATAATGGGGGCCCCCAGGTACACATTTGTCCTGGCCCCCTCTGTAGCCCTAGCCAGCCCTTCCCTCCCAGCTTACGTTGCCTCTCAGATGAAAACAAAATTATGGCACGTGAAATCCCGCTGAGAAAGGAGGACACTCACCCCAGATGCCAACACCTTTGTGAAAACTGCAGAGCAACCCAGAATTTCCAGCTTTGATTTTCATTCCTGCTCAGGGATTGTACAGTAAGTCTATTTCAAAGTAGCCACTTCGCACACATTCATGGTACAACTCAGGCAAGAACTCTCTGGTTCTGCATGCCTTACCTGGATAAAAATGATTCCTGGCCAGGCGTGGTGGCTCACGCCTCTAATCCCAGCACCTTGGGAGGCCAAGGCGGGTAGATCACCTGAGGTCAGGAGTTCAAGACCAGCCTGGTCAATATGGTAAACCCCATCTCTACCAGAAAAACAAAACTTAGCCATGTATGATGGTGGGTGCCTGTAAACACAGCTACTTGGGAGGCAGAGGCAGGAGAATCACTTGAACCCGGGAGGCGGAGGTTGCAGTGAGCCGAGATCACGCCATTGCACTTCAGCCCAGGTGACAAGAGTGAAACTCTAACTTAAAAAAAAAAAAAAAAAGATTCCCTTAAGGTTTTCAACCTGGTGGCTATTTTTTTCCTATAGATGAACAAAAATAGCTTTGCAAAGCCATTCTGCCACTGATATCCCTAGGAAGCAGGTGGGGAAATGCCCGTTCTGGGCTCCGGCAGTGGGAAGCCCAGTTCAGCAAGTCCAAGTCCAGATTCAGCTAAAGCACAGCAGCTGGATGTGCAGCCAAGGAGGCCGGATGAACAGGTGACGGCACAGAGAACGCCATGCGGGCCTTAGAAAGGAAGGCGCCGATCCACTGCGTTGCATACCTTCACTTAACATCTGTTAAGTGCAAAGGCAACACATAAAACAGTGCGAATAAGCCAGACACCCAATACCACACACTGGATGATTCCATTTCTACAAAATGCCTACAGTGGGCAGAGCCATACTAACAGAAAGCAGATTGTTGGTTGCCAGAGGCTGGGGGCAGAGGGAAGGAGGGCTGACAGCCAGTAGGTGCGGGTTTCCCGTAGGGTCGATGAGAACATTCCAAAACTAAATAGATAGGACGGTTGCACGACTCAGTGAATATGCTGATCACCACTGAATTGTACATCTGAAAGGGTAAGTTGTCTGTCACATGAATTTCATTTCAATAAAAGACCGTTTAATCAGTATGAATAAAAAACCACTAAGAAAACACGTGTGTGCTATGTTTAACTGCTTCATGAAACAATCTATAGACAGTCGCCCCAACATGTCAACAGAGTTTACATGTTGGAGGACAAATTCAGATCATTTTTACTTACTTGTAACTCTCTGTGTTGTCTGAATTTTTTTTTACAGTAAACATCACTATTTTAATAATCAGTACAAGAATTTATATAAACCATTTCCATTTAGGGGAAAAGAATCCAGTCTCCAGAGCTGCCCTCAGTCTACCCACATCTCTCCCTCAGAGCTCGCCACCCCCTTCCTTCCACATACAGGAGCTTTTACCCTTCTTTGGAAAGTTCCAGCAGCTTAGCAGCCAGACCAATAAAAATGCACCCCAGCACTGGTTTGCGTGGTGGAGAAAGAAAGCCAATTTTCCCCTAAGCATTACTCGCTCTTCCTCTGGAATTTGGACGTCAAACATCTAAAAATATGTCTCTCCCTGGAACAGAGGGTTTAGAGTTCAGCGTGCGTACATGAATGCCATTTCCTGGTGCCCGGAGCCCTCAGCACTGGGCCCTGGGGACGGAATTTGGTGCAAGGTTAATGGGACTTCCTCAGGGGAGACAAAAAAAGAAGAAAGAAGTTCACAAGACTGCAAACTCAGCCAACTCTTCCCATCAATGTCATTGTCAATCAGTGCACCTGAGAGTCCTCTAGAACTTTCCATCCCTTCTATTCTGTTCCGGAAGCTTTTAACATAATTTATTCTTTCATTTGATAGTACACTAGTAATTCTCAGGCTCACTGTGTTTCAGGCACTGGGCTGGATATGGAGAATTCTGAGTTGAAGCGGAAGACATTGGCCCTGCCTTTGCGTGGCTCAGTTTCAGGCAAGTCAGACACTGTGCAAAACATCACACAGAAGAGGTGAATGAATAGCTTTTTGTGGCCATCTGCAGAAGTAGTTAGTGAGAAGCCTGAATAAATCATGGCAATGGTAACAATAGAGCTCAATGCTAAGAAGGAAGAGTTGGGCCGGGCACGGTGGCTCACGCCTGTAATCACAGCACTTTGGGAGGCCAAGGCGGGTGGATCATGAGGTCAGGAGATTGAGACCATCCTGGTTAACATGCTGAAAACCTGTCTCTACTAAAAATACAAAAAAATTAGCCGAGTGTGGTGGCATGCACCTGTAATCCCAGCTACTCCAAAGGCTGGGGTAGGAGAATCACTTGAACCTGGGAGGCAGGTTCAGTGAGCTGAGATCATACCACTGAACTCCAGCCTGGGTGACAGAGCGAGGCATTCAGGGAGAGGCCTCGGAGGAGGTGGGCATGACGTTACGATGTCCCAAGAGCCAGAGTTAGTGCTGTGAGTGGACACTTGCTGAGTGGCTGCCCCAAGGTGCGGGTGACACAGAGGTGCCAGCGCCTGCTCCCCCGGCTCACAGGGACTCTATGTGCCATCACAGAATTCTTGAGAGGTGCCTCAGATTCTTGCTGCTTCTTAGAAAAAACTACTGTGGTAAAGTACATATAACATGTAATTTTCCATTTCAGCTGTCTTCAGTGGGCGAGTTGGTGGCATTAATTAGATTCACGATGTGTGCAGCCACTTCCATGATCTATTTCTGTGGCTTTTTCATCACCCCCAGCAGAACCTCTGTTCTCATTAGGCAGCTGCCTCCCATTCCTCCCTCCCCCAGCCCCTGGCAACCACGAATCTCCCTCCGATCCCGCTGGATTTGCCTCTTCTGGTGGTTGCATCCAAACAGTGTCACACACCTGTGGCCTTTGTGTGCTCAGCATCATGTCTTTGCGGTTCATCTGTGTCATGGTGTGTCTGGGCTCCGTTCCCTTCTGTGGCTGAGTCCTAGTCCCCTGAGTGGACAGACCGTGCTGTGCTCAGCGCATGCGCATCGGCTGCCTCCACCCTGTGGCTGCGGTGAGTGCTGGCACAGAGGTGTCCTGCTTTCCTGCCTCCCTCTCCCAGGTGATGACCACACAGGGGCCTGGGATGCTTTTTACTTGCTCGTTTCCACCTGGAATTTCAGGCCTGGACCCTCAGATGACGAAGCCCAGGCCCAGCCAGGGGAAAGTAATTTGCCCAAGGTCCCCCCAGAAGTCAGCTCTTCATGGACTTTTCATTCCTCCCACTCACCCATCCATTGCCAGGCTCTGGGCTAGACACTGGGGCGTGGCCAAGCCTACAGTGAGCTTGCTTCACATCAGTACGACATATCCCCTCTCCCCAGCACCCAGGGAGCTCCGGGGCTTTTCTGGGGTTCTCAACCATGAGTCCTGGAGACCCCCTCCTGGGTGCTGCTGAAGGTCTCCAGCGCCCACTGAGCACCCCAATCCCCAAGGTGGAGGCATCTTTGTAGTCTTGATGATGAAATCCTGAGGGAAGGAGCAGAGAAAGCCCCCAGACTTTGGGGAAGCAGTGACAGCTTCACCAGTCCCCAGCCAAAACAGCGCAGCAAAGTCATTCTCTGCAACAGCCTGTTTCCTTATCTGTGAAATGTCTCTCAGTCAGGAGCTGACTCCCCTCATTCTCAGAGCAGACTATCCATTTCCCAGGACCACTGTGACAAAATGCCACACGCTGGGGGCTGAAAACAACAGAAACGGACTCTTTCAGAGTTCTGGAAGCCGGAAGTCTGAGATCCAGGTGTCGGCAGGGCTGTTTCCTTTGTGGAGGCTCTGTGGAGAAAATCTTTCCACGTCTCTCCCGGCTTCCAGCGGCGGCTGGCAATTCCTCCTGTTCCCTGGCTTACAGACACGTCACTCTGATTTCTGCAACTCTCGGTGTCTCTTCTTCTTCTTCTTCTTTTTTTTTTTTTTTTTCCCAGAGACGAAGTATCACTCTGTCACCCAGGCTGGAGTGCAATGGCACGATCTTGGCTCACTGCAACCTCCACCTCACATCCTGGGTTCAAGTGATTCTCCTGCCTCAGCCTCCCAGTAGCTGGGACTACAGGCATCCACTACCACACCCGGCTAATTTTTGTATTTTTGGTAGAGATGGGGTTTCACCCTGTTGGCCAGGCTGGTCTCGAACTCCTGCCCTTGGGTGATCCACCCACCTTAGTCTCCCAAAGTGCTGGGATTACAGGCGGGAGCCACTACGGTCATATTAAGGACCCACCCACCCCCAGCATGACTTCATCTTATTTTGACTAATTGCACCTGTAACAAACCAGTTTCCAGATAAGGTCACATTCACAAGGATCAGAAGTTATGGGTTGGATGTATCTTTTGGGGGACACAGTTCGAACCACAACATGGATCAGATAGGGTTTGAGTGCAGGGAGTACATCTGGGAGGGGATCCCGGGAAGCCCCAGTTGGGGAGTGGGGAAGCTGGGGAGGAAAGAGAAGGGGCCACTTCAGGAAGCGCTGATGAGCAGGTGACTGCCTGGGCACCAGAGCTCAAACCCAGTGGACCTGGGAGAAATCGTGAGGAACACTCCTCACTCGCAACCCATCAAAGGTGAGAAGCCATCCAGGCCGTCAGCCTCCAGCTCCACCTGCTCTTATAGGTGTTACCTCCCGGCACCTTGGCTGGTCCTGCGTACGGGATGAGCGTGTTCCCTCAGCCAGAGATGCTTCAGGCCAGCAGACACAGATGCTTACGGTACAAAGATGAAGGTGAAGGTCAGAACTCAGGAAATGGTGAGAGCACAGCTACACGCCACCTGCCTCTCCCACTCTGCCTATCTTAGCAAAAAATAAAAGGATGTCTGGAAGGCTCTCAAGAGCTCACAGAAATAAAGGGGGAAAGGAGAACTAGGTTGGGGAACTGAGGAACGTGAGTTGTGGGCCACAGCCGGCTCCTACAGTCCCCTACTGCTACGAGCACAGGGGGTGCCTCCGGGCAGACGAACTGCAACAGGGTGCCCCGTCCGGCAGGATGCATTCCAAACAGAAAGAGGCATCTGTGGCTCTTGGCTGCTGTGGCCCCTCACAGGGCACCCTCAGCAGTTCAGGCACCTCTGGGCAGGGTGCAAACTGAACAGCCATTTCCAGTGCCATGGATGGGGGCTTAGGGGGGAAAACAGGCCCACAGTCACACTGATGGCCGGGGCCACCTTGCCCAGTCCAGGGGCTGCGCAGCACCCAGGCCCGCGTGGTGGCTGCCGTGGTGGATGTGTTGAGAGGCTCCCAAGAGCGAATGGATAGCAAATGTTTGTCCTTATACATAGTAAGTGCTCAGTAAATCACTGTTCTCAGGAGTTTTATCGAATGCCAGGAAAGAAATGTCAAAAACATCAACTCCACAGAACTGCCTGAGCTCCATGGAAAGGTTATTGGACCATTTACAAACATTCCACATCTGTTTTATCCTGTCTCATAAATATTTGGTTCTGGAATGGGTTTTTAAATCTGTCCGCAAGGCTCAAAACAAAGGGAGGAGGAAGATTTACCAAGCAAATGGAGAGCAAAAAAAAGCAGGAGTTGTAATTCTCATCTCAGATAAAATAGGCTTTAAACCAACAAAGATCAAAAGAGAGAAAGAAGGACATTACATAATGGTAAAAGGATCAATGCAACAAGAAGAGCTAACAATCCTAAATATATACGCACCCAATACAGGAGCACCCAGATACATAATGCAAGTCCTTAATGACTTACAAAGAGACTTAGACTCCCACACGATAATAGTGGGAGACTTTAACACCCCATTGTCAATATTAGACAGATCAACCAGACAGAAAATTAACAAGGATATCCAGGACTTGAACTCAGACCTGGACCAAGCAAACCTAACAGACATACAGAACTCTCCACCCCAAATCCACAGAATATACATTCTTCTCAGCACCGCATTGCACCTACTCTAACACTGACCACATAATTGGAAGTAAATCACTCCTCAGCAAATGCAAAAGAATGGAAATCATAACAAACAGCCTCTCAGACCACAGTGCAATCAAGTTAGAATTCAGAATTCAGAAACTAACTCAGAACTGCACAGCTTCATGGAAACTGAACTGGCTCTTGAATGTTGACTGGATAAACAGTGAAATGAAGGCAGAAATAAAGATGTTCTTCGAAACCAACGAGAACGAAGACACAACATACCAGAATCTCTGGGACACATTTAAAGCAGTGTCTAGAGGAAAATATATAGCAATAAATGCCCACATGAGAAGGAAGAAAAGATCTAAAATCGACACCCTATCATCAAAATTGAAAGAGCTAGAGGAGCAAGATCAAAAAAACTCAAAAGCTAGCAGAAGACAAGAAATAACTAAGATCACAGCAGAACTGAAGGAGATAGAGACACAAAAAAACCTTCAAAAAATCAATAAATTCAGGAGCTGGTTTTTCAAAAAGATCAACGAAGTAGACCACTAGCCAGATTAATAAAAAAGAAAAGAGAGAATAATCAAATAGACACAATAAAAAACGATAAAGGGGTTATCACCACAGATTCCACAGAAATACAAACCATCATCAGAGATTATTACAAATATCTCTACGCACATAAACTAATAAACCTGGAAGAAATGGATACATTCCGGGACACTTGCATCCTCCCAAGCCTAAACCAGGAAGAAGCTGAAACCCTGAATAGACCAATAACAAGGTCTGAAGCTGAGGCAGCAATTAAGAGCCTACCACCCAAAAAGAGCCCAGGTCCAGATGGGTTCACAGCCGAATTCTACCAGACATACAAAGAGGAGCTGGTATCATTCCTTCTGAAACTATTCCAAACAATACAAAAAGAGGGAATTCTTCCCAAATCATTTTATGAGACCAACATCATCCTGATCCCAAAACCCAGCAGAGACTCAACAAGAAAAGAAAACTTCAGGCCAATATCCATGATGAACATAGATGCAAAAATCTTCAATAAAATACTGGCAAGCCGATTGCAACGGCACATCAAAAAGCTTATCCACCATGATCAAGTAGGCTTCATCCCAGGGATGCAAGGCTGGTTCAACATACGCAAGTCTATAAACGTAATTCACCACATAAACAGAACCAGAGACAAATACCATATGATTATCTCAACTGATGCAGAGAAGGCCTTTGACAAAATTCAACAGTGCTTTATGCTAAAAACCCTCAATAAACTAGGTATTGATGGAATGTATCTCAAAATAATAAAAGCTATTTGTGACAAACCAACAGCCAATATCATACTGAATGGGCAAAAACTGGAAGCATTCCCTTTGAAATCTGGCACTAGACAAGGATGCCCTCTCTCACCACTCCTATTCAATATGGTACTGGAATTTCTAGCTAGAGCAATCAGGCAAGAAAAAGAAATAAAGGGTATTCAGATAGGAAAGGAGGAAGTCAAATTGTCTTTATTTGCAGACAACATGATTGTATATCTAGAAGACCCCATCGTCTCAACCCAAAATCTCCTGAAACTGATAAGCAACTTCTGCAAAGTCTCAGGATAAAAAATCAATGTGCAAAAATTACAAGCATTCCTATACACCAATAACAGGCTTAAAGAGAGCCAAATTAAGAACGAACTGCCGTTCACAATTGCTACCAACAGAATAAAATACCTAGGAATACAACTAACAAAGGATGTAAAGGACATCTTCAAGAACTATAAACCACTGCTCAACGAAATAAGAGAGGACACAAACAGATGGAGAAACATTCCATGCTCATGGTTAGGAAGAATCAATATTGTGAAAATGGCCATACTGCCCAAAGTAATTTACAGATTCAACACTATCCCCATCAAGCTACCAATGACCTTCTTCGCAGAACTGGAAAAAACCACCTTACACTTCATATGGAACCAAAAGAGAGCCCGCATAGCTAAGTCAATTCTAAGCAAAAAAAAAACAAAGTGAGAGGCATCACACTACCGGACTTCAAACTATATTACAAGGCTACAGTAATCAAAACAGCATGGTACTGGTACCAAAAGAGAGATATAGACCAATGGAACAGAACAGAGGCCTTGGAGGCAAGACCACAAACCTACAACAATCCGATCTTTCACAAACCTGACAAAAACAAGCAATGGGGAAAGGAGTCCCTGTTTAATAAATGGTGTTGGGAAAACTGGCTAGCCATGTGCAGAAAGCAGAAACTGGACCCCTTCCTGACACCTTACACTAAAATTAACTCCAGATGGATTAAAGACTTAAACATAAGACCTAACACCATAAAAACCCTAGAAGAAAACCTAGGCAAAACCATTCAGGACATAGGCGCAGGCAAGGACTTCACGACTGAAACACCAAGAGCATTGGCAACAAAAGCCAAAATAGACAAATGGGACCTAATCAAACTCCACAGCTTCTGCACAGCAAAAGAAACAGTCATTAGAGTGAATCGGCAATCAACAGAATGGGAAAAAATTTTTGCAGTCTACCCATCTGACAAAGGGCTGATATCCAAAATTCACAAAGAACTAAAACAGATTTACAAGAAAACAACAAACAAACCCATTCAAAAGTAGGCAAAGGACATGAACAGACACTTTACAAAAGAAGACATACTTGAGGCCAACAAACATATGAAAAAATGCTCATCATCACTGGTCATTAGAGAAATGCAAATCAAAACTACATTGAGATGCCACCTCACACCAGTTAAAATGGCGATCATTAAAAAATCTGGAGACAACAGATGCTGGAGAGGATGTGGAGAAATAGGAGCACTTTTACACTGTTGGTGGAAGTGTAAATTAGTTCAACCATTGTGGTAGACAGTGTGGTGATTCCTCCAGGACCTAGAAATAGAAATTCCATTTGACCCAGCAATCCCATTACTGGGTATATATCCAAAGGATTATAAATCATTCTACTATAAGGACACGTGCACACGAATGTTCATTGCAGCACAGTTTATGATAGCAAAGACCTGGAACCAACCCAAATGCCCATTGATGATAGACTGGACAGGGAAAATGTGGCACATACACACCATGGAATACTATGCAGCCAACAAAAATGATGAGTTCGTGTCCTTTGTAGGGACATGGATGAACCTGGAAACCATCATTCTCAGCAAACTGACACAAGAGCAGAAAATCAAACACCTCATGTTCTCACTCATAGGTGGGTGTTGAATAACGAGAACACATGGACACAGGGAGGGGAGCATCACACACTGGGGTCTGTTGGGGGGAAATAGGGGAGGGACAGTGGGGGGTGGGGACTTGGGGAGAAATAGCATGGGGAGAAATGCCAGATATAGGTGATGGGGAGGAAGGCAGCAAATCACACTGCCATGTGTGTACCTGTGCAACAATCTTGCATGTTCTTCACATGTACCCCAAAACCTAAAATGCAATTAAAAAAAATCTGTTCGTAGTGCACATGCAGGGATTGCAGTTCTGTGCCAGGCAGGGAACTGCAGGCTTTGTGGTCTTTTTACTGAGCCCTACAAAGCAGTCACTGCTGTGTCCCATGCTACAGATGAGGAAACTGAGGCTCAGACAGGGGAAGGAACTTCCTGAAGGTCTTAGAGATAGAAGGCGGTGGACCCGGACCTTCCCATTGGGTCTTCCAAGGGAATGAAAGGCAAGCGTGCTTGTCTTTGGCACTGTCTCTGCATGCTTGGACGACGAAGCATGAACAGCATTCAGGACATTAACCGGCCCCACTCTGACCAAGAGACCAGTCCCCTCCACAAAAGTCACTCTGCCAGGAGACGAGGCTGTGGGAATGTAGAGCAGGCTACAGGCAGCCATGCACTTGGTCAGGACTGAACCACCAGCTCTCTGCGTGTAGCCTGGCCAATTTCCAAGGTGTACATACTCCCAGCATGGTTGATTTCAGGCAACCCACGTGAGGCCACTGAATGGAAGCTGGAAGAGATGTGGAGTGCCTCCTCTCCTCGCCATACCACACAGATGCAAGAGACATAAAACCCCAGGAGCAGAGAGAGTAGAAAAATGTAGCAACATAATTGGGAAGTGCCACATTTCTAAGAGGAAGTATTTCCCGGCTGCAGTATTCCCTGGGTGCAAGGCCTCGCACCTGTAATCCCAGCACTTTGGCAGCCTGAGGCAGATGGATCACCTGAGCTCAGGAGTTTGAGACGGGCATGGACAACGTGGCAAAATCCCATCTCTACTAAAAATACAAAAAAATTAGCCGGGCATGGTGG